TGCACAGCAATGTTACCAATATAGAACAGTGACATGCTGCACAGCAATGTTATCAATATAGGACAGTGACATGCTGCACAGCAATGTCACCAATATAAAACAGTGACATGCTGCACAGCAATGTTATCAATATAGGACAGTGACATGCTGCACAGCAATGTTATCAATATAGGACAGTGACATGCTGCACATCAATGCTATCAATATAGAACAGTGTCACTGTTCTATATTGGTAGCATTGCTGTGCAGCATGTCACTGTTCTATATTGGTAGCATTGCTGTGCAGCATGGGTAACATTGCTGTGCAGCATGTTCTATATTGGTAACACTGCTGTGCAGCATGTCACTGTTCTATATTAGTAACAAAGCTACATCATCAATATGGAACAGTGACACGCTGCATGAATTATCGTCACTAAAGAACAAAGACACACAGCACAGAAATATCATCAATAAGGAACAGTAATACGCCGCACATCTAGGTCAGCAGTATGAAAAAGTGCAGTGCTCTTTAACTAGATTTTTATAAAATGTTAATACATTAGATAATCAGACTTTTCGTGAGGATTAATGAGGCTCGAAACAGCGTTAGTTCCTTAACAAGCAACAACAACACGTGAAACTGTTAGGCCTTCAGTAAGAATTATTACACGTGGTACAACATGCTTAACAAGTTACAGTCAAGTTTAACAGAAGTGTGTTTTAAATAAGAGCATGCAAGCGGCATATAAACCACATATCTTCACAATTCTGGCACGTTCACTATCAGATCTCTCCTGCAACGAACAGATTAGTTAAATGTGAAAAATAACATAAAGGACAAATATGTTCCTTTTCCGAATATTGTTTTAAATTAAATAATGTTAGCTTTTTAATTTTTTATACTTATAATCGAACGATTCCTGTATGACTTAACTTAGCTTGTTGTGGTATGTAATCGTTACAGTTTTTCATATTTAGGTTTATCCTTATAGCTACTTGAAAATTGTCATGGTGCTTCTCTGAAGCCCTATGTGTTATTTAATATATTTATGTTCCTCTTGGAGGAAAACTCTGTGTCCCCAAATCAACGTTTTCAGCATCTAACACTAGATAACAACTGCGACCCTGTCCGTTGAGAATAATTTGCACTGTAAGTGGACAAAATTTGGGGCTAACGAAAAATCATTAACTTTTGAAAGCCGTTCTTTTGACCTTGACAGCTTTTGTTCGTATTTAGTTATCTATACAAAATATTTAAACACTTAACGTCAGAAACAAACGATAAACGTCAAATATAACAGCTTTGACTGTTTGTTGTTAAGAGCAAAGCTGCACAATGGGTACGCCACGGGTATTGAAATCTGGTTTTTAGTGTTATAAGCTTTCAGGACCCGGCATGGCCAGATGGTTAGGGCGCTCGACTCACAACTTGCGGGTCGCTGGTTCGAATCCCCGTCACAACAAACATGCTCGCTTTTTCAGCCGCGGGGGTTTCATAATGTGACGGCCAATCTCACTATTCGTTGATAAAAGAGTAACCCAAGAGTTGGCGGTGGGTGGTGATGGCAGCTACCTTCCTTCTAGTCTTACACTGCTAAATTGGGGACGGCTAGCGCAAATACCCCTCGTGTAGCTTTGCGCGAAAGTCATAACAAACAAATAATAAGCTTTCAGACTTACCGTTGAACCACTGGGGAGGGGGGCAATGTAATAGCAATCAAATGCGAAACGAGTGAGTAGGCAAAGTCTAAACAAGTGTTTGCATTCTTGATATTTTGTGGAAGTTGATTGTCTTTCTTCTATTGATTAAGATGACATTAATGCTCAAGTCCTCTAGATTACAGATGATGTAGAATATTAAAAACTTAAAAATTAGCTTATGGAAATAGCAGAACCAATTTGGGTTATGTTTTTACAAGAAAACGTTATTTTTAGAGAGAGAGAGATT